GAAACATAAACAATTGGATTTATTTTGGAAATGATGAGATTGCAGAGAAAGCGCACTTGTGAGTGGAGAAAAAAGCATAACATACATCCCCTCTGCAAACCTTTACAAGTAGGATATCCACAAGACATCTGTAAAATTGCCACTTTTTAAAAAAATTAGTTATGTCTAAGTGGTTTCCTAAGTCCACAAGCCTGAGAATGTTCGTTTCTACTACTGGACTACACTTTTAGGGCTCAGTGAGATGCTTGCATATCATCTAATACATGCTAAAGCTATCTTATATAACAATAGACTGATGGCAATATGAATGTATTTATTATAAGTGCTCCAATAATCTATCCTTGGTCATGTGCTATTCCACAATTTTATAAACAAACTGGGTGAAGGCAGGGAACAATTCATTTTTCTTCTTTCTATTTCCTGTGCCTAATACCCAGGAGATGCTTAATAAATATTTGTTGAATTGAAATGCATCAGTAGCCAACAATTATGTTGATGAAGCTTTTCAGAGCTTGCAGAACCAGCTGCGAATTGCTCACTTGTATTTTGTGGTCAACGCACATCCTCTTAACCAAATGTATGGACTGTCTCTTCAGACTGATTATTCAAGAGAACAGTTCAAGGAAATCAAAACTGCTACAGACTATACACAGTTTTCAGCAGAGGCTCAACCAGAGACTTGATCACTCCCAAACTGCATCCGAACTTATTGTTTACACATAGAGCTAGTCAATCATAATAGCACCCAGGGAAGCCTCTGCTGTCTTGAAAACGTACAGAGAGCCACGAGAATTTGCAAATGAAGTGAAAGGACAAACAGCAGGAGTGAACAAAGACAAGCATGAAAAACAGACGGTAAAGAAAGGGACTAAACCAAAATACCTGCTTAGCTTTTCTACACTAACCTGATTTCTGAATCAAGCAACACTTGGGCTTGCAGGCTCTGCCTTGACTAATTTCTGGAACATATAAATTTAAGAGCTAGAATATTAGGCCGAGATGGCATTCTGCACAACAGCATTAAGATGTAAACTGAAGATATATAATTAACCCGCACGAAGGCAGCCATTTATGGGAATCCTAGTGTGCAAAAGTGGAAGAGCACCAGGATTCTGATTCAGAAGACCTGGATTTGACTTGTAGCTCTGCCATTTATCTGTTACTTCTCTCTGAGCTCCATCAGTAAAATGAAGGCATTAGACTAATTAATCTCTAAACTCTAAACCCCAGGATTTCTCTATTAGTATAACCCTGCAGACTTCAAAACCTTCCATGTTCATTACTTCATGTGGTCTAAAACAGGCAGGCAAATATGACATGGATTATCACCCCCATTTTAAATTGAGGAAATTGAGGCATAAAACAAGCAAGTTTTCTTTCTTTCTCCCCTTTTCTTTAAATTTACTGTTTGTTTATTTTTAATATTCTTTTTTTTGGTACATTTTGAGTTACAGGTTCTCTCCCTCCCTCTAGCACCTGTCCCACCCCATTGAGAAGGCCAGAAATGTGATATCAATTATATATGTGAAGTCATACAAAACATATTTCCATATTAGTCATGTTGAAAAAAAAGTGAAAAAATTATACTGCAATTTGTACTGAGTTCATCAGTTTTCTCTCTAGAGGTAACATTTTCCATCATGAGTCCTTTGGAATCATCTTGGATCACTGTATTGCTCAGAGTGGCTAAGTCTTTCACAGTTGATCATTGTTACAATACTGCTGTTATTGTGTACAACGTTTTGGTTCTGCTCACTTCATTCTGCATCTGTTCATAGAAATCTTCCTAGGATAAAACAATCAAGCCTAACATATTTTAAGAGTAACCAGCAAAGTTGGAGTCATGATGGCAGAGTAGCAGAAAGCAGTGCAATGAGCTTCCCCTTACCCCTAAAAGTCCTCCAAACAAATCTAGAAAATGCATGAGACTGAATCCTGATGGGGAAATCCAAAGAAAAGTCACAGTGAAGTCATTTTCTGGCTCAGGTCAGCATAGGGAGACAGAAAGATGTCTATGGTTCCTGAGGAAGGCATCTGGCCAGGAGTGCACTTAGAGTACTCTAGCATCCAAGGAGAGGCTGTGAACTTGGGGCCTGAGATCTCAAACCCCTATCGGGGTGCCCTCACCAGGACTTAGGTACAAGAATATATTTCACTCAAGAGGGAAATAGGAGAGAAAAGGGAAAAAGGAAGAAGGGAGAATTAGAGGGAAGGTAGTTTAAGGGAGGAATTAGTCCTAAGGAAAACAAACTCTAAGTATATAAAAAAAATTTATAACTTTGTGCATAGCAAAGAATGGGAATCTGATGGGGTGCCCATAAATTGAGGAATGGCTGAACAAATTATGGTATAGAAATACAATAGAAAACTATTGCACTATAAGAAATGATGAAGGGGATGGTTTCAAAGAAACTTGGGAAGATATATAAATATATATATATGTATATATACATACAAATACGCACATACACATTGATACTGAATAAACAGAAGCAGGAGAACAATTAATACAAAGATAACATAGTAAAGACAAACAACTTTGAAAGAATTAGGAACTCTGATCAATCACAGTTCCAGGACTAATGATGAAACATACTATCCAGTTCCTGATAGAAAGAAGGATTCAGGAGCAGCTAGGTGGCGCAGTGGATAGAGCAATAACCCTGGAGTCATTGAACTCAAGAGGACTTGAGTTCAAATATAACCTCAGACACTTGACTCTTACTAGCTGTGTGACCCTGGGCAAGTCACTTAACCCTGATTGCCTTACAAAAACAAACAACAAAAATTTTTTTAAAAAAAGAAAGGACTCGGTAGAGCGTGAGACAACATTTTCTGAACATGTTTTACTTGACTATACATATTTGTTACATGTTTTAGGTGTTTATTTTTATTTCTTTCTCATTTGGGAGTTTGTGATGGGACACAGAGAAGGTAAATTTTTGTTGACAAAAAATATATAATTTTTTTTAAAAAGAGTAACCAAAAAAGTTAAGAATACTTTAGCATGCTACCAAAGCCTCGAACTACAAAGACACAGTCCAAAGCCCATAAATCTGAAGAGCAAAGCCCATCCAGAAGTGATTGTCAGATTAAAGCATTTGTAGCTAGAAAAAAATGAAACAGCCTTACCTTCAAGGTACAAGAGTTATTTGGTCTTAAGGCATCAATAATATAAGGGAGAACTGTTGGGACTCTTAGAAAAGGTGGCATTCTACTCCTAATTAGTTTGACAGATGGCATATGGGGCTGGTGTTCTGAGGAAATTCATTCTCCCTGGAGGACTGACCTTCATGTTTCTGCTACCTTCAGTTTCCCTGAGTAAAGCAGTGTCCAGCTATGTTGAGATTAGTTTATACACACATGACACACACACAGAACCACACTGTCCAGCTGCAGCACACAACATTGTACAGGCTTTTCGTTGTGTATAGGCCTTTTCAATCCATTCACTTGAACAATATTAAATAATTAATTATTTGGAAGAGTTGGAATCATTACACTCAAGGAAAAAAGTCAGCAAAATAATGATTTTCAGTTTCAGGCTTCAGTGCCTTTTAAATTCAAAAACAATTTTAAGTATTCAATAAGCTAGGAGAAATGGCTTAGCACAGTGAACAGAGAACTGGCTTTAGAATCAGAAAGGACTGAGTTCAAATCCTACCTCTGGTGTACACTATTTATGGAATCCTGGGCAACTCATGTGCCTCTCATTGTCTCAGGTAACCCTCTACAATTATAAATTACAGATATGCCAATTGGCTTTGGCAGATGACATTTCCACATGGTAACTGGCAAAATCATAGGTCTGGGCCAAAAAGGGAAAGAAGAGTGCCACATAACAGCCATCTAAAACTAGTAACCCACCAAAATAAAACCAGGTACTTATGGCAGATTAGTAAATTACACATAATATCCAATAGGGGAAAATTATATCCTATAACTTTAAAAAAAGTTTTTACTTAACCAAACTTCTCATCTCTAGCTTGTCTCTTCTTAATTAAGTATTCTTGCCATAAATGAAGGTTATTTTAGTACACGCAGAGTGAGCTTACTGAAGAGGATAATTATGACACTATATGACTAGAAATATAAAAACAAATATTACTTTCTATTTGTGAGCTAACATGAGGTTTACATAACTATGTATCAATCCACGATTCTAAGTTGCCTTGATAATACTACACCCTAGGTATCAATATGTGTCTTAGAATTCATCACAGAACTTTAGAGCTAAAAGAAACTTCAAATACAGTGTAGGTCACTGTCCCATATGTTTTTGTTGTTACAGATGGGAAAACTGAGGCCCAGTGAAGACATTCATTACCTCTGGAACCTAGTTTCTTCTAACTCCCAGGCCAGCTGTATTTAGAACCACCTATTCAAAAATATTAAAAGCCCAAAACACTCAAAAACAGGGTGCTTTTATTTCTCTGGGCACCATGACATTAAGCTACTTCAGGTCTGTCTCTCCAGCATTCTCTTTTGGAACACACACCACTTAAATGGCAATCAATGCATCTCAGTGCTATGAATTCAGTTTGCTGATATACACTATGACTGGACCCTGAGCGCTATTAATTACAGCTAGCTAAATACAATGACTGGGGCACCTGGGTGGCTCAGTGGATAGAGTACCAAGACTGGAGTCAGGAAGACTCATTTTCCTGAGTTCAAATCTGGCCTCAGGCACTTATTTGCTATATGACCCTGGGCAAGTCACTTAACCCTGTTTGCCTCAGTTTCCTTGGGTAAGTCACCTCATTTCTCTGGGCCTCCACTGTCTTACCTATAAAATAAGGAGTTTGTACTGGACGATCTCTAAGGGCCTTCTGGTTGTTTTGGTTTCTAATTCATGCAGTGTAAAGACGGAACAGGCATGATGTGTGTTGTTCTGATGCCACTTATCTGCAGACCTGAAAAATGCTCATCATATTCCAGAGAACTGTTGTTTTAAATCCTTTAAAATTAATAAACAAATAAATAAACCATGAAAATACCTGTGAGTGCTTTGAGACCCAGTGACGGAGGACATTCAGTACTCGGTTGGTGGCTGTTCTGCGTATTATGAACTCTTTGTCGCAGGTTCTCTCACTGTTGTTAAATCCTTTGGAGGAAAAATTACATTGTAGTTAAAGACAATTCACCATATCTTGGAAAAGGTCATTTATTTTAGGACACTGTTTGAATGAAGCTCAGAAATGAAACCTACTACTACACAAATACCAGGCTTTCCAGCCCCTGTTAATTCTACTTACCTATTATATTCCCGTTTCACGCGGCTGCAGGTGCAGTGAAATGAATGCCTCTCACACTTTGTTAATACCATTAATTACATGTAAAACTGGTTGAATAACTAGCTCTCTCTCCCATTTGGAATTGCCTTATTCTATCACGCAAATTTTCAAAATTGTGTATTTGGGTCAGTATTAGCTCATGCTTTTGTTCAGAATGTAGCTATATAAGAAAATGGTCATCTCTGTATTGGGCCCAGATTATGTACATCCCCTTAGCCTACAGATTATATAAATGCCAAAATCAAATTTTGGGATAACGTCTTTACTCTATGTATCCTGCAAACATGGACCAAACGGCCTGTAGATGGTGAAGGCAGAGGTCACATCTCTACAACTTCACCCAGAATTTAGCACTTAATAAACTCTCTTATATAAGGCTGCAGTGTTGTCACTTGCTCAAAAATAATAATTAAAAGAGCCAATCTACAGTCATGCCTACAGGAGGATGATGAAGTAAAGAATACCTATGGGAACTTCAACACGCTGCTACCTCACATGATTCCATTTTAAAGATGTAGTTGAGACTATACTTTTCAGAAGGTCACCATGGATTTGTAGTCAATAATCACAGTTTCACATACTGAGAAATCGTAAAGATTCCGTAGCCAACCTCCTCATTTTACAGATGGAGAAACTGAGGCCTAGAGAAGAAGGCTTTGGTCAAAGTCAAGTAGTAAGTGGAAGATCTGGGATTTGAACCCATGGCCTCTGGCCTCTGAGTCCATTATACCATTATAATATATGAACAGGTAGAAATGGTAGTGAATAGAACTGAGAAGGAAAGATAAGAAGAGCTAGACCAGTTCAAGTATTCACAGAGGAGGCCCATTCAGAAGGTGACAACTTTGAGGACACTGTGGGACTAATTCTCAAGAAGTCTAAAAGAGGAGAAGATACCAAATGCTTTGAAGAGAAAAATGGTACTTTAATAACACCCAAAAAGTAAATGAGAAAATATTGATAATATTAGTAACTCTTGACCCATATTCTTATTTTCACATCTCTACAAAATCTTTAAAATAATAAGAGGTGGTCATCTGTGTTACCCTAAATTGTGTGCTCCATGAAGGTAAGGCTTGAATATTTTAGTGAAGACAAATACAGATGGCATAGGGTCACTGTTTACATTTATATAACATTCCTTCTAGACCTAGCTACTGAATCCTACTTTCATTCAGGTCTGACTGTTCTTGCTTTTGATGTTTATAATGACTGCCAACAACCAGCAGTCTTTCGTATAAATGACATTTCAGCAAATTTAATTTATTTCTCTTATTCAAAAAGGCTTCTAATATTCTTTCTGCTTATTTGAACCTAATACCTTATATCACTGGCAGGGTTCAGGAGTTTTCCTGAAAAAGAACAAACCACTCATCTAGGTCACCCTTCCAAACAAGGCATGACATGTTTAGCTGAAGTAATCAGTACCTTGTGAATATCACCAGAATGGATCCACCAAATGCAGAGACTGGCCTTATGAATAGGTCAAGTTGCTGGCATGCTGAAGGTATGATTTCAAATGTGTTGGGAAAAGTGCCTTTGTCCCCAAATACCTTCCCCACCTCCTGATACCATGATTGAAATTTTGCTTTTAAATTCTATCACATAAGCCTTTGGCATTAAACCTTTCTGGTCTTTAACATTCATTATCAGTGAGCATTTATTAAGCACTTATTACATGCCAGTGACTGGGCTAGAGTTATAAGGAAAGACAAGAACCAGACTCTGACCTCAGGGAGCTCCTCATTCTCAGCTATTAAAAGGCAAAAATAAATAAATAAAACAAACCTAAAAGAAAAAAAATGCGAAAACCCCAAAAAAATAAACAAACACACCAACTAACTAATACCCTTCAACTGTTATCAGCTAATACCTGGCAGTTCACCAGGTGATTTTCAAGAACAAAGCCTTGTAGCATAAGTGCTTGGAATAGTTCCTTCAGGTGGGGACTGATTTTTTGTGTTGGTATCCTCAGAATAGTTCAGTGCTTCAGTACTTGGGGAACAGGGCTCAGTATAGTAGTTCAGCTCAGAGAACCCAAACAGGAGCATAGTATAGCCTTTGGACAGGGGTTTTAACTTCTGGTACTTGACTTTGCCATTAAAAATATTTTATATATTTGTTTTTTCTAACCTGGAAAGACTGACATGAACTGACATAAAGTGAAGTGAGTAGAACCAGGAGAATATTGTACACAGTAACAGCAACATTGTGTGATGCTCAACTATGAATGACTGAGCTCTTCTCAGCAATACAATGAGCCAAAGGAATCCAAAGGACTAACATGAAGCTTACAATCTGCCTCCAGAGAAAGAACTAATATTGTTTGAACACAGACTGAAGCATGCTATTTTCACTTTCTTTCATTTTTTTCTTTTATTCAAGTCTTCTTGTACAAAATGACTAACATTGAAATGTTTTACATAATTGCACGTGTATAAGCTATATATGATTGCTTTCCATCTTGGGGGGGGCAGGAAGAAAAGAGAGGGAGAGAGATAGGAATGGAATTTGGAATTCAAAACTTTAAATAAAAAATGTTTTTAAAAAACCAGTGGCTCTGTATTGACTTTATGGTGATATATAATTTCATCTTTATTTCATCATTTTTTAATTTCCATTTTTGTATAAGTTTTATAATGTAAATAATTATTTGTATAGTAGTAATAATAAAAATAATAGCTAATATTTACATAGAGCTTTAAGACTTGAACTTTACATATAATATCTCATATCATCCTTGAATCACTCTGAGACAGCCGTTATTATGATTCCTATTTTACAGATGAGGAAACTGAAGCTGAGAGATTAAGATACTTGCCCAGGGTCATTCGGGTAGTACTAATGTTTGAGGCATAATTCAAACTCATGTCTTCCTGGCTCCAAGTCCAGAGCTCTATACACTATACTACTTGGCTACCTTAAATATGTATGTGTGTATAATTTACAAATAAAAAATAACGCATTTATTGAGAGTGCATACTTAAAACCTTTTTACTGACAGGAGTGTGTAATCAAAAAAGTTTGGAGACTGCCTCTCTAGAGGAAAGAGGACTGAAAACCAAAACTGAATTAATCAGAGAAAGGGTTGAGGTCAGAATTCCAGAGAATCATGTACATGAGGGAATTGTACAGCCCCTCCAGAACAGCATGTGGTCTCAGGGACAACAGCAGACAGAAGTAATGATGGAGTGGTGGGCAAGCTAGGAGCTGTAGAAATGTAAGCCAGCATCAGTGAAGGAGGAATGATTCATAGACTAGTCTCCAGAAAAGCAGTAAAATTTCTAGACCAAGGCTTCTGATTCAGTAGAGGAATTCTTAGAAAATGTGGTGCTCTTGTCTGTCTCTTAGTGAAAAGAGGAAAAATTCTTGGGCTACTCAGAAACCAAAGCCAAGGAGTAGGAAAGGATGGAGCTACGATGTGGAAGAGCAAACTATGAGTTATGTGGACTATGTAAGACTAGGGTATGGGTTCGTTTAACTTAAGGAGAGTATTATAAGTTGGAAAGACTGTGTGGGTCCCTGGGGGAAATGGCATTTATCAGAAAGTGTCTGCTTGTCTCTCTAGCAACTTTTTGGGTGGGGTGTAAAGTACTTTATATACATGCTCCCACTTGATCCTCAATCCTTCTAGGTTCTATTATTATCCCAATTTTATTTTTTTTTATTTAACATTTCATTTTTCCCCAATTACATGTAAAAACAATTTTAACATTTTTTAAAATAATTTTGAGTTCTAAATTCTCTCTCTCCCTCATCATTGAGATGACAAGCAATTTTATATAGGTCATACATGTGCAGTCATGCAAAATATATTTCCATATTAGTCATGTTGTGAAAGAAAACACAGGCTCCCCAAAAACCCAAAATAAATAAAGTTTTTTTTAAAAAAGTTTGCTTCAATCTGCATTCAGACTCCACCAGTTCTTCCTCTGGAGGTAGATAGCATTTTTCATCAAAAGTCCTTCAGAATTGTCTTGGAGCATTGTATTGCTGAGGATAGCTAAGTCATTCAGAGTTGATCATTGTACAATATTGATGTTACTGGTTCTGCTCATTTAATTTTGCATCAGTTCATGTAAGTCTTCCCAGGTTTTTCTGAGAGCACCCTGCTCATCCTTTCTTATACTACAATTCTCTAGCAACTTTTGACTACTTTCTCTTGGGGTGGGGTGGGGTGAAGGGGTTCAATCCTAGGATAATATTAGAGGCTCTATGGAGAGGAAGGCAGAATTGTTTTAACTCTTTATGGTCCCAGTTAAAAGTCTTTAGCTTTCTATCAGGTATAGCCAAAGTATTGCTATTACTGCTACTACTCTAGGCATCTTAAAGGGAGGTCCTTTTCCCCTTTTTATGGAGGCATATACACAAGCACAATTCTGATGTTGTTGGGGGAAATCCTGGGTTGAGGCAAATGACTCAAAACCCTTGGTGTGTGCATGAGCCAGAATAATATCCAGATTTTGTAAAACACTCCCACTGTTGAGTCTGGTCTCAGTTCTAAGCTATGAATTACATCTGAATAGAATAAATTCCTTCCTATCTAGGAGGATATACTATGTAGTCTTGTTTAGAAGCAGGAGATTTGACTACATGGCCTCCTGAGAGCCCCTTTGGCCTTGTAAATAAAAAATATGAGCAAGGGCTGGATTTCCTGGCCTTCTGCTGTTGAATACAGAGGACTCCTGTCACAGGAACACATTTTAGATGGCTTCAGGCTTTGATGACTTAGTGAGAACACTACAGCACCAAGGGAACCACTCTGTCAGTGGCATCAATCAGCAGGATGAATCATAAGTCTTGTCAGATC